GTTATATCAGGCAGAACAAAATGTATCTAGTCTGTTACCTTTTCCAAAAGACCAATATGTGCTAAGTTTTTAACTCCATTAATCATTTTATTTCCTCAATCTAATCTATCCCACATAATCTCCTTTAAAATGTGCAGCATTTATCAATTCCCTTTTCTGGGATGTTTTCCATCATCATTTTCACTGTTGGAAGATGAGGCATTCCTTTCCCCTACTATGTCAATAGACCTTGAAGGCTGAAACTGTGTGTGATTTCATGGGTACCTTTAGCACCTTGCAGTGTACCTAGCAGTGTGAACACCCACTCTCCATGCAGAGAATAAATAAGCACTTGAAATACAACATTGAATTAGCTATAGATTTTGTCCTTTTGTAGTGTGAGGTATCATAATGATTTTTCCCATATACACCAGATGAAAATAGAGAGGATAATACCAATGACTTAGTGTAAGATAAAGACCTTCCTTAACTGATTTTCTAACTTAACTAGCTTTAAAATAAAGAGGAGACTCTTCTTTTCAAGCTTACTTGTACAGTTCATGAAAAAAGGATACTTGTTCAAATTAGGGAAGAAAGGAGTGAAAGAAAAAACAGTGAAAGTGTTGGGATCCCAGAAAGCACTAGTACTTCATTTGTATCAAACTCCCTTCCTTTTATCTACACACACACACATGCACACACACACACACACATGCACACACACACGCAAACTCATGCACACACATCACATCACATCATATCACACATCCACATACCAATCGGGATTAGGGATGGAATCTGAGCCTACAGGATGGAAGAATCAAGTGGCCCAAAAACTAAAGAATCTTTGCAGTGAAATATGTCTTGAAATTATGGCCCTACACAGTGCTGGAAAAGGGCCAAGTTTTCAAATTAGCTGAGCAGTGAGACCATTCATTTTCCCCATCCCTACTCTAGCTTCATGCTGAGCCTTGTTCCTACAGACATAGGGGTATGTACTAAGGTCCTGCAGGAGGAGCACGTGAGGCCTCAGACCCAGCAAGTATGTGACTGTGAGCCAGTTACTGATCAAAGATAGATGAGGCGCATTGATGGCATGATCCCCAAGGCCTGGTCACCAAGTTCCATTCAATCTATTTTATGACGAAAGGTAGTCTCCTTGGACATGTTTACCTTCCTTTTAGGTTAGGATAGCTACGCAATAAAGAGTTATATCAGATTTGCCTTGTAGCAGAAGAATATAGAGATTTTTTTTCTGCTGAAACCACATAAGGACAGTGAAGTCACCAGTTCCAGGAATCGGTCATGGGTTCTTCTGTAACTTTTTTTTTAATTGAATCATGGTGAGATAGTTACAAAGCTTTCTAAAAATGAAAGTCTTTGTGTGTATATAGTGTGTATATATATGTGTATGTATATATATGTACATATTATGTGGGTGTTCATTATTGATAACCTTGGTAATGTTTTCTTGAAATAAAATTCAAATTCATCCATTTAAAAATTTTTTATTGAATCACCGTAAGATACAGTTACAAAGCTTTCATGCTTGAGTTTCAGTCAAACAATAATCAAACACCCATCCCTCCACCAGTGCATACGTTCCACCACCAATATCCCCAGTATCCGCCCCCATCCCAACCATCCCCCTGCCTCTATGGCAGACAATTTCCCCCATACTCTCTCTCTACTTTTGGGCATTATAGTTTTCAAGACAGATACTGAAAGGCTTCACATTTGGTCCTTTATCTACTTTCAGCACACATCTCCCACCCTGAGCAACCCCTCCAACTATCATTGACTTAGTGACCCCTTCTATATTCCAGTTGCCTTCTCCCCAACTCATGAGACAGGCTTCCAACCATAGAGCAATATTCGTGGTCCCTGTCTCTACTGTCCTTGGGTGTCATTCTCATATTATGATATTTTACATTCCACAAATGAGTGCAGTCATTCTATGTCTGTCCTCTTTCTAACTTATTTCACTTAGCACAATACTCTCCATGACTATCCACTTATAAGCAAATTTCATGACTTCATCTCTCCTAACAGCTGCATAGTATTCCATTGTGTAGATGTACCAAAGTTTCTTTAACAAGTCATCTGTTCTCGAGCACTCGAGTCGTTTCCAGATCCTGGCTATTGTGAACAGTGCTGCAATAAACATATAGGTGCAGATGTCATTTCTACTTGCTTTTTTGCACCCTCGAGTTATATTCCCAGAAGTGGTATTGCTGGGTTTTATAAAAGCTCAATTTCTATGAGTCAGAAAGAGAGGAATAGACATAGAAAGATTGCATTCATCTGGGGGATATAAAGTAACAAAGTATGAGATTAATACCCAAGAATAGCTGAGATCAGCACCAGGACGATTACTCCATAACTTAGAGGCCAGCGGGTATCCTAGAGGAAAGGGCAGTTCAGATAGAGAAGGGAGCACCAAATAAAGGATGTTTGGAGGATCCTCCCAGGAGGGGAGATGCATGTCGAAAGTAGACTATGGACTGAACATGTTTGCCACTCAATGCCTCTTTTGCAGACCACAACACCCAAAAGGAGAGAGAGAACACAGGGGATTGCCCTGCCACAGAGACAGGGGGGATGGGGGGATGGGGGTGGGAGGGATATTATCCATGGTGGTGGAAAATGGGCACTGGTGGAGGGATGGGTATCTGATCATTGTATAATTGAAACCAAAGCACAAAAAATTGTAAATCTACAACTGTAAAAAAAAAAATAAAATAAAGGGAAAAAAAATTCTTCACAAAAAAAAAAAGCTCAATTTCTAATTTTGAAGGAATGCCCATATTGTTTTCCAAAAAATACTGGAACAGTAGGCATTCCCACCAACCGGGCACGAGTTCCCTTTCTCTCCACATCCACGCCAACCTGGTTGCTTTTGTTCTTTTAAATGTGTGTCAGTCTCTGTGGTATGAGATAATATCTCATTGTTGCTTTGATTTGTCTCTCCCTGCCAATAAGCGATGTAGAGCATTTTTTATGTGCCTTTTGGCCATTTTATTTCTTTTTTGAGGAAGCTTCTGTTCATTTCTTCTCTCCATTTTTTTGATGGAATTGTTTTTTTTTTCTTGTGCAGTTCTACTAGTGTCTTGTATATCCTGGATATTAACCCCTTATCTGATGTGTATTGGGCAAATATTCTTTCCCATTCCGTGGACTCTGTCTGTATTTTGGTCACTGTTTCTTTTGAGGTGCAGAAGCTACTTAGTTTGATGTAGTCCATTTGTTTATGTTTGTTTCCATTTGCATGGTCAGTGGTGTGTCATTCTTTTATTTTTATTAGTGAGACACCATGAGGTACAGTTTTAGACTTACAAATTTTTGTACTTGGGTTTCAATTATGCAATGATCAAATACCCATCCCTCCACCAGTGCCATTTCCCACCACCACGGATGTTTCATTCTTAAAGACACTTTTAACTTCAATGTGATGGAGGCTTCTGCCTACATTTTCCTCCATGTATCTTATGGATTCAGGTCTGATATTGAGGTCTTTAATTCACTTTGATCTGACTTCTTTTTCCTGGCTCTAGACAGAGGTCAGAGTTCTTTTTTTTCAGGTAGCTGTCCAGTTTTCCCAGCACCACTTGTTGAAGAGGCTTTCCTTGCTCCACTTCACATTTCTTGGTCCTCTAAGTGATCATATATTTGAGAATCTATGATACAATATTCAACTCTGTTCATTGGTCTGTGGGTCTGCTTTTAGCCCAATACCATGCTGTTTTAATTACTACTGCTTTTTAGTACAGTTTGAAATAGGGAAAGGTGATGGCTCTCATCTTTTTCCCACAGATTGCTTTAGCTGTCACTGGGGGTTTATTGTTCCATATGAAACTCAGGAGTGTTTTGTCTTTTCTTTAAAGAATGTCATGGGTGTCTATCCTTATAGGGACTGCATTGAATCTGTATGTTTTGGGGAGTATTGTCATTTTGACAGTATTAATCCTCCCAAACCATGAGCAGGCAATCTGTCTCCTGTCTTTAGTGTCCTTTCTATTTCTTGAAGTAGTCTTATGTAATTTTCTTTGTATAGGTCCTTCACCTCTTTAGTTAAGCTGATTCCAAGGTAACCGATTTTCCGAGCACTATTGTGGATGGGAGTTTTTTTAATAGTTCGTTCTTCTCTTTTATTGTTTGTACATAGGAAAGCCATGAACTTTTGGGTGTTGAATTAGTAGCCTGCCACTTTACTATACAAACCTACTGTTTGTAGGAGCTTTTTAGTAGAGTCTTTAGGATTTTCTAAGTATAGTATCATATTGCCCACAAAAAATGATACTTTGTCCTCTTCCTTTTCTACCTGTATCCCTTGACATAATCCATCATATCAATAAAAGAAAAGATAAAAAACCATATGATCATATCAATAGATGCAGGGAAAGGATTTAACAAGATCCAGTATCCATTTCTGATGAAAACTCTCAGCAAAATGGGCATTGAAGGAACTTTACTCAATATAGTCAAAGCCATCTACCACAAACACATGGAAAGCATCATTCTCAATGGAGAGAAATTTTTAAAAGCCTTCCCTCTAAGATTGGGGACAAGACAAGGTTGCCCGCCCTCCCCACTCATATTCAATATAGTACTGGAAGTTCTGGGTTTTTATGTAACTTGCTGCTCTCAAGTGGCAGGAAGGAAGATGTTGCCTTATTAGAAAAGATGGATAGTATGTGAGTCTCTTTAGAAAGTGGGCTTTCTTATTAACTTTAAATGAGCAACTGTGTCTACCAGAGTCTCCAGAATTCAGAGAATGAATGAAAAAGAAGGCAGAAGAGAACAAAATTCCACTCACCCTATATTCTTGAATATAACAATTAGACTCTGATTTGTCTGCTATAAAAACTAAGCCTCTCTTTCTGTTGGTGGGGCTGATCTCCTGTCCCTAATGTTTGTGGGTATTTAAATATCAAAAGTTGGAGCTTTTCAGCTATTACGTTAACACCAAAATCACCCTAGCATCACAGTAACCCACAGGTATGGCTGATGATTTCTGTTACCTTGGTACTTTCTACAGGCTCTGAAGCTGCAGGTTCTGATGATTTCTCTAATTTTTTCATGGATTCGAAACTGCTACTCTTCAGCTCAGCATCTTTGATAGAAAGAATTGGCATAAGAACAGAAAAAATATCCATGGTACTATAGAGCAAGGCAGCATATAGCATTTTAAAGTAAAGTAAAGTAAAGTAAAGTAAAGGCCCTCCCGTTGATCGTCGATTTGCTCGAGCGGGCCCAGTAACGTCTCCATTGGAGACTTTGTTGTTACTGTGTCTGGCATATCGAATACTCTCGGTAGCTTGCCGGGCTCTCCGAGAGGGGCGGAGGAATCGAACTCGGGTCGGCCATGTTGGCCGCTTGTAAGGCGAACGCCCTACCCGCTGTGCTATCGCTCCAGCCCTATAGCATTTTAAATTTAGTATTATTTTTATTAAATCACCATGAGATACAGTTACAAAGTTTTCATAATTGAGTTTCATTCATACAATGTTCCAGCACCCATCCCTCCACCAGTGCAGATTTTCGACCACCAATATCCCCCATATCTCTGTATGGCAGGCACTTTTCTTCTCTCTCTCTTCTCTCTCTCCTCTCTCTCTCTCTGTATCTCTCTCTTTCCTCTGTGTGTGTGTGTCTCCCTCAGGCAATATGTTTTAAATTATAGTGTATTTGAAGACTTATTTCAGAAGTCAGAAACGAGGTTGGAAGAGCAGGTCTTCACATCATGCACATTTCTGCCCTCTCTGCCTTCACACAATGAAGATAAAATGATACCTGTCCCTGCAGGAACTGCAGAGATGAAATGATGCTGGAAGTGCGCCAGGACCTGGTCCCCAGGAGGCCTGGACCTCTGCCAGTTGCTGATCCACCTGATCCTTTCACACTAGCCCCCTTGGACTCTTACAAACAACCACTCATCAACTTTCTGGATGGCATGTTTGAAGTAATTTTCAGACAGAATGTGAAAAGACCACAGTTAGCAGTGTCTGTGCTATCTAAATGTCAAAGACCCACACATGGGCTGCTTTCATTTTGTTTGAAATAGTGTGAACCTCAGGACTGGGCTACTGTTTCTGCTTTTCTATTTCATAAGAAAGAACTGGAGCTGTGCATTATTGTTTGAATGTGTTCTAGAAAGTCAATAACAAGGGTAGTGCCATGTAATTTTCTTTCACAAAAATTATGGTAGAAAAAAGTTGTCCCCATTTATTTTAAAAAATCTTTTCCTCCCTCCCTCCCTCCCTCCCTCCCTCCCTCCCTCCCTCCCTCCCTCCCTCCCTTCCTTCCTTCCTTTCTTCCTTCCTCCCCCTTCTTCCTTTCTTTCTTTCCTTCCATCCTTCGTTCTTTCTTCTGTGTTGATCAGGCTCTGTGCTGAAGGATCACTTCTGGAGGTGCTCAGGGGACTGTACATGATGCCAGAGACCGAACCCAGGTCAGCTGCATGCAAGACAAGAGCCCGACTTTTTTTCCTCCCTCCCTCCCTCCCTCCCTCCCTCCCTCCCTCCCTCTCTTCCTTCCTTCCTTCTTTCTTTCCTTCCTTGTGGAACTCAGGGATTACTCCTGGTTCTGTGCTCAGAGATCACTCCTAGAGGAGCTTTGGGGACCATACCTGAAGCTAGAGATGGATCTTGGGTCAGCCTTGTGCAAGTCAAGACTTTTCCTTTTCCTTTCATCCTCTCCTCTCCACTCTTCTTCGTTCTACTCCCCTCTCCTCTTTTCCAATTTTTCTGTCCTTTCATTCCCTCTCTCCCATTCTCCTCTTTCCCCATCTTTCTTTTTCCTCCTTTCTCATTCCTTCCCATATTACAGCTCCTCCTTTCTGGATTACCTTGTTCCTGCACTGCTGAGGGACTTCAGCAATGACAGCTGCTCACAGGCACTTGCCTGAGCTCAGTGCAGTGCCAACAAAGATCTCCCTACAGGCTGCCTCTTCTTGACAAATGTAGGAGGGAGCGGGGTGTGCTGGAAGATCCAAAAATGTGCTACCAGCATGAGCCTGCTGCAACATCTTCCCACTTGGACCCGTCGCACTAGGTACTGTGGGGACAGAGGCAGCCAGAACCCATCTCGTTCCTCCTCTCCTGCTGTTTTCCACAGCAGCCTATGGGCACTAGCCCTGCAAGTTCCTCTCAGTCTCCAAGTCCTTGATTCCCTATACCTTGTATTTGCTTCTGGCCAAAAATGTAGAGAAATGAAATTCTAACTGACAACTGGATATGCAGGGAGGCATACAGGGTATACATGGGAAGGTACATTAAGTTGGAAGTATAAGGAGAATGACAGCCCTACCTAAGAGTCATATCTGTTAGCATGGAGAAAAACCATTGTGGAGAAGAACAAAGAACTTAAGAGTCCCTCTGAAGGAAATGCTTTGGAAATAATAAAGCATATTTGATCTCAAGTTTTTGAGTACATCCTGTACCCTGCAAAACTTTCCAGGCAGCCTATCGATATAGGCTTCAAGCATTTTGTAATGACAAGAATAGCACACTTCTCAGGTTAATTTATATTACTGTTGAGATATGAAACTCAAAATAGTAAAATATACAGCACAGTGAATTTCTATGTATACTAATTCCATGTAACAACTACCAGATGAATTTCTAAGGCATGTCCAATACCCAGAAGTTTTTCTTATTGACGGGTTCTCCTTTCCAGCCAATATATATCTTTGATGTAGCATCTTTTCTCACTTCTACAGTTGTTGATGGGTTTTAAAATATCAATAGCTGCCTCCCTCATAAGTTGCAAATTTTCTAATTTTTGGTTTTGAATTTGAAGAGCTTCATAAAATGCAATTATAATTAAGACAAGATTACTAAAAAGAAGCCTTATAAAATTGATCTGCAATGAAGTAATACTCTTGGTTTCTTAACTGCAGTCTAATGTGCATGAGGCAATTACCAACTGCAATGACTAATTGTCTTGGCTAAACTGTCCTGGGGAGTTACACTTTGTTATTAAGCAGCTGCCATTCTCCATCCCCAGAGGGGGCTGCATTTCAGCACTGGGCAAGGGTGATACTCGCTCTCTCTTGCCTAGGTCTCTGGAGTCTTATGAGGTTTAATTAGTTAATGTTCATAATGCGCCTTGAGATCCTCAGATGTGAGGTGCTATCCCGAGGAAAAGTTGAGGCAGTGGTATTATATGACACACAACTAAAAACACAACTGAGGCTGCAAATTTAATTGTTATTTTATTGCTTCACCACCTAAGTAGTCATAAACTAGTGTTTAATTCTAATGGGAGTGAAGACACAATTTACTATAACTTGCTATGTTAGACTGCTTATCTGAAGTAGGTTTGTTTAGAACAGCTGGAGATAAAGGTCCCTCCTGTTCAGGCCTCTCCCAAAGAATGCCATTTACCAATGACTTTATAATTTTGCATTCTTTTTTTCCAGAAGGGCTCTCAATTATACAAAACGAAACCTCCAAAGTCCTGAAGCTGCCCTGGTATTTTCTAATAGAAATAATGTACAGGAAAAATAAAATAAAGCATTTTGACGGTATTAGGAATAAATCTGATCTGATGTTTTCTAATGAACTTAAAATACCAATTAAAATCCCAAAGGAGATTTTGTTAAATGAAATAAACTGACTCTAAAAGAAAAAAACATAGAAATAGTCGATGAAATTTTATAAATATGAATGTAGAGTGGGTCGAATTTCCTACTGAATATTGCTCGAGTTCGAGTGGGCCCAGTAACGTTCTCCATTGGAGACTTTGTTGTTACTGTGTCTGGCATATCATTCGATACGTCACGGGGAGCTTGCCAGGCTCTGCTGTGCGGGTGAGATACTCTCGGTAGCTTGCCGGGCTGAATATTAAAATATAATATAAATCCAATGCTTAATAGAAATATGACAAAATAATCCAGGAAAAAGTCAAACAGTCATGAAATGGGAGTAAAAAATCTCATATCATATTCCCTCAAAATTTTCAGAAATAAATAAAAGTCTAAGGATTTAAAGCATATTTTAAGCTACTATAGGAGAATATCTATGAACTTGGAGGCAAAAAATAGTTCCTGAAGAATGTGAAAGGTAGGAGCCATTAAAGAAAAATACTGATAGGATTTACCAAATCAAAATTGAGGCATCTATCTGTAAAAGTACCGTCTGAAAGTGTATACACATGGAGAATACATCTACAACACATCTAATAGAATGACAACTGAATTACAAAAAATAAAACAATGCAAGAGGCAAAGGAAATGAAGAGAATATAGATATAAAGGATCGGTAAACAGACAAAAAGTGTTCAGTTTTATTAAGACTCTGAGAAGTACAATTAAAACAATGAGACCTCTTCTCATATCTCCCTACTGACAAAAGTTTAAGATGCTAACAATATTATGTACTGGAAAGCTCTGGAAGAAAGCCATGGATGTAGTTACCTGCAGGGGCAGCATCAGAACCTCCACCCCAGCAAGAATCCAGACTGTTGCTACTTTTGCAATGGAGCCAAGGAGATATGCACGGAGATGTTTATTGCAGTAATATTTTAAAAAACAAAACAACAGAAACTTCAATGATTAACAAAGGAAAAATGTGGTCTATTCCATATAGTGGAATACTACACAAAGTAAAAGGATGTCGCAGACCTGCACCTATCAACATTATTAGGTCAGTGTTTCTCTTGTAAGTATATGGATTTCATGTAAAATTACAAAAAAAATAGATCCCAAAGGGCACACACTAGAGTAGTAACAATGCCTGCTTCTCAGGAGCAGAACCAAAATCAGAAGTTGGCTATAAAATTAAGGCTTAACATTGATCAAAGAGAATTAAGGTTTTACTGCGCAATCCAAAGGTACTTAATATGTTGCTAATGCAGCTGAAAAATGTTTAAATTCTAACTACGTGGGAATGGAGAGATGTCACAACTGGTAGGGAACTTGCCTGGCATGTAGCTGACCCAGGTTCAATCCCCAGTACCTCATACTGTTCCCTGAGCATCGCCAGGAGTAATTCTTAAGTGCAAAGCCAAGAATAAACCCCAAGTTCTATACATCAGAATGGTCCCAAAACAAAAATCGAATCAAAACCAAAAAACCAAAAAATATCAGCTGTTCATTCACCGCCCCCCCCC